ACCCCAAGCACTGACTGTCACTCACATGACAAACCCAGTTGATTGACAGCAGTGCCCCTGCCCTGTCCCCAAACCCCAACCACCACTCATGAGTCTCTCACTTGATTTACATGGCCATGGCCACCCTCCCTTCCAAGCCCCACCCATCACTCCAATAATGGCTTTGATTGACAGCAGTGGCCCCACCCCCTTTCACTCACATGATGAATTCACTTGATTGACAAACAGCAGTGGCCACGCCCCCCACAATGACCCAGGGGTTGAGCACCGTCTGTCCCCCTGTCACCGATGTCCCCCCGTCCTCGGCTGCGTCCCGGAACCCCTGGATGATCAGCGGCATCACCTTGTCCCTCTCCTGGGGGGACAAGACAGTCCCTGTCACCCTCAGTGTCCCCTGTCACCCCATCGGTGTCCCACATCATCCCCAGGGTCCCTGTAACCCTCTGTGTCCCTTGTCACCACCCCAGCTTCCCCTGTCACTCGCTAGGTCCTGTCACCCTGTCAGTGTCCCTGTCACTCCCCAGTATCTCCTGTCAACCCACCATGTCCCTGTGACCCACCCTAATACACCTGTCACCCCCTGATCCCTGCCACCCCCATGCCCCCTGTCCCCAATGTGTCACCATAACCCCTATGTGTCCCCCATCACCCCCATGGGCCTGTGCTGCCTGATGTCACTGTCACCCTGTGGCAGTGACCCTTCCGTGTCACTGTCCCCCTGCATCTCTGGGCCCCCTCAAGTCACCCTGGATGTCCCTGTCAGCATCGTGCCTTTGCCACACACCTGTCCTGCTTTATGCCCCTGTGTCACTTCCACATTCCTGCCAGCCAGTCACGTCCTTATCACCACCCTGCTCCGCCATATACCTGTCTCCCAGTTTCCCCCCGTGTCTGCTGTCTCCCCACTGTCCCCCCCATGTCCCCCGTCCCTGTCACCTCCTCGGTCATGCGCTGGCTGACACTCAGCAGCATCAGGACATTGTCACACTCAGTGACCCCCATGGCGTACAGGTCACTCAGGACGTTGGCGCAGGCGATGCGACCCTGAAATGGGAAGAAGGGGGTTTGGGGGGTCCAGGACAGGATGGGGGGATCCTGATGGTGTTCAGTGGGCCCAATATGGGATTTGAGGGGGTCCAAGGTGGAGTTTAGGGGATTTGGGATTGAATTTGGGGGGTCCCAGAGGGATTCTGGGGGCCCCCCAGGAGGATTTGGAGTGCCCAGGATGGGATTGGGAGGTTCTGAGTGGATTTGGAGGCCCTCAGGTGGGATTGGGCAGGGCCAGGATAGGATTGGAGGGTCCCCAGGTAGGATCTGGAGGTCACCAGGTGGAATTTAGGGAAGCCCAAGTTGGAGTTTAGAGGGCCTGGGATAGAATTGGGGGATCACAAGGGGATTTTGGGGGCCCTCGGGGGAATTTGGGGGCCCAGGAGAGGGCTAAGGGATCTTGAATAGGTTTTGGGGGACCAAGGAGGGCTTGGGGGATGCAGGAATAGCATTAAGATAGGACAGGAGCCAAATCTACAAGGGAATTTGGGGTCCCAAGATAGGATTTGTGGGGGTGTAGAGGAGTATATTTGGGTCTGCAGATGGAATTTGGGGAGCTTGGAATAGGACTGGGGGGGGCTGAAAGTATTTGGGATGCTCAGGGTGGGACTTGTGTGGTCCGGGGTAGAACTGAGGGACCCAAATGGATTTTCAGAGGGGTCCAGAAAGCTTTGGGTGTTCCAAGAGGGAGGAAGAGAATCAAGGGTAGTTGGGGGGGATCCCTGGAGGGATTTCGGGGTTCCCTGGGGGTTTCTGGGTCCTTGGGAGGGGTTGGATTTGGGAGGAACCTGGAGGTGATTTGGGGTATCCCAAGAATCCTGACAGCATCTAGGGGGTCCCCGGGGGTGATTTTGGAGTGCAAGGAGTATTTATGGGGTCCCAGAGGGGTTCAGGGGGTTCTTCGC